TATATAGCTCTAGGGTTCATTTTGCGTGGATTCTTTAAGCATACCCGAGATGAGATATTTAGTCGAAATCTATGTTCTCCACTACGCTCTGAATGTAAGAGTTCTACTTACAGATGTAAAAGTGCCCTGTGGTATAATATTATAGTCATTGAGAAATAATTTAGGTTTAGGATCTAATTGATGTAGATATTTATACATATGATGACTATAGTAAGGATCTCCAGTTTTCTCTTCAAAATAATGATTATGTAACATTTCATTGCTCACATCCCAGTGATCTATCCTGGAAGAAAGGAATATCAGACATCTGTAATTGTAGCATACTGGCTGACAAAATGCTTCGATGTCGACAATATGTTTTTAGTATTTTGCATTTGAATCTGTTGCATTATCCCCTTCAAGTAAATATTTGTTCGTCTTGTGTATACTTACATTCCCTTTGTTTGATTAACAACATATCTGATTCTTTCATCTACAGCATGCTTTAATTCGTTGGCATTCATCTTGATAACTTCATCTGGTTGTAGTTTATTATCCTTACTTCCCCAGAATATATTGTGTCCTCGGACTGGTACACTGAAAATGTCAACAAAATTGCCACAGCAAAACTAAAAGAGGGATTTTTTCGCCATCCGTTTGACCAATCGTACCTTAGTCTCAGAAACGGGATTGTTTTAGCTAATCTATTCACTAATAGTGTTCATAGCTATTGTCGAAATTTGAGCCTTTCCTTTCCGGTAGGTGGGACGTTTTTAATGTAATCACATGGTGTCAAGATTTTCAACGTACAAATTGTAATCCCACAAAGATACAATACGCAAAATTAATATTCTGATTGCTGTTCACAATGTTTACTTACCCATGCTTGTGTAGTTCCGCAATTGCTTTTCGATTGTCAGCATAGAAAGGGTGATCCTGAAATGGAATGAATAGGGTTTTAGGTCCTACATCTCGGTCGGATGTAATGCAGAAAGACGTGTTATTTACAAAGTGAACAGCAGAATGACAATAAAAATTTTAATTTAATCTATATAAATTTAGTCTTAGAGCAAGCAGAGGTGTTTGAAAGCGAATAATGATCCCAATCATCCACCATATTATACTTACATACGGTCCACGAGACCATCTCCAGTAATAGCTGGCCAAAGTGGAGAAGTTAAACATGTAATAATACAGCTCTCTCTGACGTTGGTATTTAGATTCCAAAACCATTTCTGTTTTTGTCATTGAACCAAATGGAAAAGCGTGTTTATTTAGCTTCACCTTGAAAAAGACACAAAAGGTCTTTTGGTCTAAAGATCGTCGTAGTGATTCCTAGAAGGCGAGCAGAACGGCAAAGCTTTGGTCTTCACCCCAACCAGTGCATAGGCAGTCTACCGACACCCACCCCTGAACTAAAATGGCTGTAACTTGGTCACTTTTGACCCGTGAGGTATAATTTTTGTTTGTAATGAAAGCTCATCATGTCCCCCCGTCTATGTCAGTAGAAAACAGAAATTCGAAATTTTTTCAAACTTTCGAGAAAATCGACTTTAAAGTTCCACCCTTAATTTCAAGAGGAAAACCACTTATATTTTGGTTTGGGAAAAAAGTCTGAGACTAAAAGGGCTTTAACAGGCAATTTGTTAACACATTACTGAATGACCCCATATTGCTGTTAATGTTGGTACCCTCGGGGTTATTAAATACCAAATAAGATGATTAAAAAAACGAAAAGCGTGAATCCCCCTACCTCGACAATATAATCATGAGGGTTGGTATTAGAAGGTATCTTGATATTAAAATTAATGTTATTTTTTCTATGTTCATCAATTCTTTTATTAGCCTCTGATTTCCAATGGGTATCTTCAGGTAGTAAAGTTATAGTACCACCGTCTACCAGGTAGTTTATAGATGGATCTGGTCCACATAGAACTATACTGGAATCCGTAAAATCTACAAAAGCAAGCAAGTAATTGGATTGGTTTGTAATCCATGCGAATGACATAGTTGATCACGGTTGCACTAGTCGATCAGGTTCCCGATCATTGCCAGTCTCCCTCAGCATCTAACCAAAAGTACTAATGTCATGCTATAGTTCGTTCTTCATCTTAGCAGTTGAGTCGTAATATGCATTTAAGTAAAAATCCATTTCAGTTAACCAAAAACTCCTTCAAAGCATGACAAAATCAGTAGCGGTAAATGAATAAATAGAGATTCCGTCGGATGCATCATTTAATTCTATTCATTTACATTCATTCTATGAGTAAATTTGTTTCTTACCGACATCTGGAGTTTGAATAAAAGATTCTAATTTAACCCATCCTCTACCAGTATGGACATTTTGATCAGTAACAATTACGGGGTATAAGGTTTTATCTGAAATAGATAATCTATGAGTCAACTTAACCACACCTAACCGACAGCAATTAGGAAGAAAGTGGGGAACTTGACCTTCCGTAATTTCAAGTACAGGTAACAAGAGAGTTACATAAATGAATCTTAATGAAACCATCGGAATTCCACTCTAGCTAAACGACGTGCTCGGACACTGTACCAACTTTTGTATAGCCAAATAATTCAACTACAGTATATCTTGTGGGTAAAACAGTGTGTTTTATAAAAATTATCCATAAACGAAACTTGCCTCCATTGATATGGAACATTCCATTAACTTTATACATCTGTAAAACTTTTCCCGGTTGATCAATTAATTGTTTAATATAAAATATAAAATGGTATCTAGTGTTTCTTTTTAACGGTACGGTTTGAGAAGGACCATCTCTCCAATTGTTTCTGTAAAAAAGGGTAGAAGTAAATACATGGCAGATAAAGGGTCTAATTCTAATTCTAAGGAGCATGTCAAGGTCAACACACAAGGAAGCCGGAAAACTATTTTTATTGGTCAAAAGAGAGAGGATTTATCAGAATCGCACGCCCCACAAAATACCACTTGACTGTCTTTAAGATTATGACGGGCAATGTTAAATGAGAGTTAAATAGATATACTTGGGAATTTTGTATCTGTCCGATAGGCGAACACATGCTGCGTGTTGGTTTACACAAGATTATAGAAAGAAAACTGACCTTTTTGAAATTTTGACAGATTGGCTTCCACTGACTTTATCTGATTTTACCACAGCCATCTGACAATTTCCAATACATTTCCAATCATTTGATGGATAGGATGAATGTCCTTCAAAATCTCCATCATGTAACAGATTGGAAGCGGCACGGGTCCCGACAGGAATAAAAGCCACCACTATCACAAAACGAAGTAACCTCATTGCTTCATTGTAAACAAAACACTGAAATGATCGTTCACCTGACAGCTGTCTATCGCACAGAAAGAACATATATCTATGAGGTCAACACTCTTTTCGCTTCGTCAATAATGCCCACTAGAATCTTCTAAAATGTTATTTAATTTGTATTACTTCCTTGACAATTATTTTTGTCTTAAAATGTTTGGGTTTTTTGTATTTCTCAGAAAAATGTGCTTCTGAAGAATACTGTATATGAAAATGAATTACTTTGGTTCATTGCTTTGGTTTTGAAAACCCATTTGTTTACATCTCATCCAAAAGTGGACATTGCCGTCAAGAATTTTCTTGATAGTACCCCTATTATTGTTTTCGTCGATCGACCCCATTTTGCAAAAAAAAAGTCGGGAACCTGTGAGTACTATGGAACACTACCTTAAAGCTTCAGGGGTCAGGTTAAAAAAAAGTGACACGATTGGAGGCGACTCAGGACGACAATCTGGCCGATTAAAATAATCATTCATTGGGTGTAATCTGTTAGAGATCGTGCCGATTAAAAAAACAGTCTTTGATGTAGGTATATGTCCAAATTAATGGTTAGAACCCAGTACTTGATTGGTTGGTCAATCTTTGCAGTGTCCCTTAGCATGACATACTTTTAGCAATTTCAGGAACATTTTCAGTAGGCTACGAAATGAATTGAAAATCACCAATGAAATTTATCTAAACTGGTTTTATTTCTTAAATCTACACTTATTGAATGTTTGAGCATATCATGGAAAAAGAAATGGTCTTAATTTTGGGGTAATATAACATAGAGCATATCAAAAGCATTTGAGAGATCTGGGTTGGAGGTCATCTTATGCATGCTGTTAATGTAAAATTGCAAAATATATTAAATAAGCTCAACTCACACCTATTAAAGGGTTACATACATAATACTAAAGTTCTAACACAAAACAACACCAACACTCTATTAAAATTTTAAAAAAATTGTTCACGTAATTTAGTCGTTCGTTTTAATCCTCGTGCCAAAATCTTTCCATCATAACGTTACGCCATTTGTCCAACACAAAATAAACTTTTTATCGTGAACCAATAAATAAATGAATAAATTAAATAATGTATATACAAAAATTCTTTCCAGATTCATTCTGCATTCTTTCCTATTACACAATATGCGTCTTTACACTGGACATTCACATCTACAGTCCCAATTTTCCAGAGTGATTTAAGGCATAAGTTATGGAACAGGATGGTAAACGACCGAAAAGGAGCAAAATTCTAATTTCCGTATATATGGGTTCGTAATTCTGGTTTAAGTGTATACATTTCATAATTTATACCACAAATCACTCTCCAATGAGATGCCTTCACTTTACAAAAAAACAAATCAACAATGTTCTGTGCTTATGAAACTTTATAAAAAAATCAATTTGTGGTTTAGAATCATAATATATTGAATCCTATACCATGCCATTTTGTTTACCAATACATTAAATCAAAATCTGCTTTTTCCATAAAGGGCTATCATAATCATCAATACGCATTTTTAAACAAAGAAACAGTAATATAAGTAGCTAAAGAGAAATATTGTTTTCTCTTATTTCATCCAAGTCGATACTGATCAGAGTTAGTAGATAAATATGTTATTATGGTATTTACAAATTATATTGAAATAAGTTACACAGAACATTTATGATATTTGAAAGACATACAAAAGTTTAAACCGAGTTTAAATTTAGATTAATTTTCATCTCAGTAAAAGGACATCTCATCATTAGTTGTATCCAATTCTTTAGTCAGTTCTTCATATTTAGCTTTCTCTGCTCTCACATCAGCTGCAAGATATAACAATTGTATGGGTCACAAAGGGAAGAGAACAGATCTAAGCCCATGCAGGGGTCAATGAAAAGTCGCTTGAAGTTTTCAAAAGAAATGAAATAAAAGGTCATAAAAAATGAAACTACGTGATATGATAGATCAATACAAAAGTTTGGTTTCTGGCACATATAACGCTATCGACAATTTTTGCAAACAAAATTGATACAAAAACAACTAGATTGGAACTGTTTGTTTTGTCATGAGTTTACATCTTGAATTGGGTTTCCAGTGAATTTTGCTATTTTGAGGGATTTACTTACATTCCAATTTATCTATTTCTGTCTGTAATAATGTGTTTTGATTTCGTGATTCTGTTAGAGTTGTTTCCGTCTGAAAAATACAAATATGCAACAGTCAGTATAATACATCAAAGTAACATGGTAATATTCTAGATAGACTCTTGGCTACCTCGTGTATTGAGTTTATGTTAGTGTCGTCTAAGATATCGGCTTACGCTGGAAGCGGACTTTAACTTGTCACCCACCAACCAACCAACCATTGTGTCGTGTATTATGTGACCAGATTCGAGAGGTGTCCGAGGTCGCAACTATTGCTTTTATATTTTGAAATGACGGTTTTTTCTACTTCTTCCTCCATAGTTTGTCAAAAGTCGGGATAAGCGGACACGGAATTCCAATATGGTTAATTTAAAAAACAAAACGATTAAGATAATGTTATTTATCAGATATTCAGCTTTCAACGAATGTGTAGGGTTTGGCATTAACACCTTATCCTAAGACAACGACTGTCAAATGATCACGAATAAGATATTTGTATAACCATCTTTAAACACTTACTTGTTCAAACTTGTCACATAACTCCTTATTTTTAGCTTCTAATTGAGAACATTTATCTATAAAACATAATACACATTATTTAACTCTTGAAAATTAAACAGGAGAGATAAAATTCATAATAGTTTGGTTAGGAGTTAACATGTAAACAAAACGAAATTTTCCCCACAGAGAATTGAGAATTAATTTGGTCATAACCCGAAATAAGTTTTATGTAAATAACGAATACCTTCTAATTTGTCTATTTCTGCTTGCTGCATTGTAATATTCCTTCCTAAATCCATCTCTCTAGCTTCGTCCTGGAATTCAGAACGCTTAAAATAAACTATTTGTTTGTATATCGACAATATCTAAATTAAAGTCGTGTTTCCATGCAAGAATTATATGGCATAGCATAGACTTTTTCGTAGCATGTATGTTTGTTTTAAAATTCAAGCAGAACGAATTTAAGACTATTTTGTTCCGTTTTATCAAAGCAACACAATGTTCTATAACAAGCTTCAGGAAGGGATAGAGAATATGGGAAAGAAAAATAGGAAAATGAAAGGGAATTCTAATAAGGTTTTTAAATCTTTTGGTTTTATGTTTATTCCCTGCTTTCACAACATTATCAGTTAATGGAAGTATATTCGCTTACTTGTTGAACTTTTTCATTTATTGAGTCAAGTGTCACAACTTGTCGAAATATCAGTTTTTCAGCCTAAACAAAAATAACCAATTGTCAGAAAGAAAATCTCCAAATTGTCCTTTTGTTAAATTCATAATTAGTTTTTAAATAATTTGATATAAGAATGTATTTATTGTGTATTTAATGAAATAATTCTCTTTTTATTTCTATTTGTTTTTTTTTAATTAAGAAATATTTTTTGTAAAATTATTTGTTTTTTTTTATTACTCACTTCGTCTAATTTAGCAGTTAGACTTTTTATCTCTTCTTGATAACCTTCAAGCTGTTGATAATTTAGAAAATGGTCAATATTATTCAATACTGCACATTTATACTCAACATCGCGTATTTATGATCAACATTGCATATTTATAATCAACATTGCGTCTTTATACTCAACATTGCGTATTCAAACTCAACATTGTGTATTCAAACTCAACATTGCGTACTTATACTCAACGTTTTGATATTTCCTGATAATTTTATATATTTGTTTTAATGTTTTTATTCTTTATTGTTTGGGGACAGGATTTTGGATGCTGTGGTGAAAATATTGCACACTCACAGCAGTTCCTATGAATCATGCAAACGGGATAAATGGAAACTCTATAATCGACGATAAGAAATACATAACTTACTTCTTCTATTTTTTCTGTCATAGAGAAAATTGTATTTTGCATTCGACTTTCATTATTTTCAGCCTATATAAGAAAACATTATTATGAAAGTGATTTTATATTAATATTGATTTTCAAAAAAATACCGTTTTTTTATTCTTAAAAAAATATATATACAAAATTTCACATTTGAAAAAATAATTTTGGGAAGATGCTTAAAAAATAATTAAACTAATTATGTAATTTGAAAATAATTAGAAAATCATTAATTAAAGGAACTTACTTCTTCGAGTTTTATATTTAAAACTTTAATTGTCTCCTCTTTCTCATCAACCTTGAACGAGATTAAACAACAATTTAGGTTAGAAAATATCAGAGACATGTTCAAGATATACAGAGAAGCGGAGACAATAGCATGAAACGTCTTAGCAAATACTATAAGATACCTCGCAGGAAATAAGGTTCCAAAGTTTTAGGTGGGCTTCGTTAATAGGACTATATGGATATATATTTACACTTATTAATCCTCTAATTCTCACTACAATAGTCTTCTTTTTATATAATAATATGTAAGTTTAATATCATTGAAATATTAGACGACAATTCTAAATAAGAAAGCAAACAACCGATCAAAATGTCTTAAGCAAAGCAGTCTAGTTATTTATGGGTATTATTTCTTATCTTAAACCTTACAATTTGATGAACAAACAATATTATGAGTCTCTGAGAAGTTATAAGAAGAATTTATTATTTAAAAAGCTTATTTTTTTCTGATTTTGAACAACAGTAAGGTTATAGGAAGGTTATAGGCTTATACGTGTACATTCTTATCTACAAATACAAAGGCAAGTTGGTGAAGTTAAGAAATGGTTTGAGATGGAGTTAATTCATAATCATTTGACAATCATTTGAAAATCGAGCAACTAAATTAGTGGAATGCTTTATGGCATTTCGGACAATTGTATATTTCCTAGAAGTGCTATTCTATTCGTGTAGCCCTTCTACGAACCCCACTTTGACTACTTTGGAATGATCCGCACTCCAATAGATCAGTTCGTTTTTTCTTTCTGCGAAGATGTAATATAAGAAACCAAAATCAAGAGTTATAGATGTGAAGGTCCTCATCCACCCGCACCACTCTTCAACGTCCACTCTTTTGATTATGATTTCATAGGCAGCGTAGAGTGTCAAGAGGAAAAGTTATAAAGGAAAAGGTAATTAGCAAGAATTGAAAAGGTGTCTAAGAAAACCAATAAGGAAAATGTATTCAGTGATAGCAAGGATGGAAAACCAAGAAGGAAGAGGTTAGGACAATCTTAATAAGTTTTGGGAAAAGTTATTTATGAAAGAGGAGTGAAGGGAAGGATTGTTTGTATTTGAGTTTTGTATCTGATGAAAGAGCTGGATGGTAAGGACGATTGTTGGATTGGCCTTTCTGAAACAATTTAAGGAAAAGGAGAGGGTAAAAATTATGGCCAAACGTAATGAGTTTCGGAAGCGTCAGTGAGGAAACGGCAAGTGATAATCCGATTCCGAAGTAAGAGATGAGAAATGGGTAAAGAATAAGCAAGTAATAATAAAATGTTGTCAGAAAGTAAGGAAGAAGAGGCTCATTGATAAGGGTTGTGGAAACAGGAAGTATTTTGTGAAATGAATGGGTAATTGGTAAGATTGATAGTTATTAATAGCAGGTCACTGTTTGCTTTAATCTTGAATTAGACTTTCTGAACAGAAACCACAGTAAGAGTCATCGGTGTGAAGATTTCCTCATCCACCCGCCCTCTCTTCAAACATCCGACTTTTCTGACCATGGTATCTGTCAAGGGCCTTAAACATCTGGAGGTGAAGGCTTGCAAGTAACAGTAACAGTATTCTAGGGATTGATCATATACTTTCTGAGGTGAACGTATCTGACATCTCTGGTCGTTATTGTTAACAGTTCGAGAATTATCTCAGTTACTCCCCTTTTAGTGATTTTAGATGAGAAGTGTTGCACATAGAAAGTTTGGTAGGTTCAATTTTAGCTTTGACGTTCAGCAGTTCGGGAAAGCATGTTAACATAAATAAAACATCTTAGGTAAGGACTCAGCAAGAGAATTGACACCTGCTGAAGACTAATGCTGTGTTCAATTGGTGAGGTACCGAAATAAATGTCAATTTCCGTGTAAATGAATAGAATTCTAATGAATAACAGACATCGTTTTGACTTAGTTGTGAATGCCGTTGCGTCAAAGGGTAGACAGTCGTAATTGTAGAATTGTATAGTGTTGTACATCTGGAATGTGTTGTTTAAGGGCATTTGTCGTTTTTCAAATAAGAGAGTTGTGCTTGCAAGTCAGCTGATTCTATAAGCATTGTGGTAGCATATTTATCGCCATCTTCACAATGATCATGGTATTTTACACTTCGTCCTATAATATAAAGTTCGTTATACCTTGACCATTGTGAAGATAATTGATCAGAAGTTCGAATCAAATGGGGGAATTGTATTCGCAGGTCAGCACATTGATCACTAGTTGCCATACTATTTAAATAGGGGTATTGTGCTCGCGGGTCAGCTGGTACATTGGCAAGAATATTTTCAAAATGGGAATGTTCTTGCAAGTCACCACACTGATCGCTAGTTGCCATTCTATTCAAATTTGAGGTTGTGTTGGCAGGTAAGCACATTGCTGTGAAGGTATTTCAACAATTTGTAAAACTGAAACCAAAGCGTTATTAACACTGTAGGTTGAATTCAAATATGATGATGGCAAACCAGATATTTGGTTATTGAAGTGAAAGTATTTGATGGACCAAGCAGCGGAATGACACCTAGTTCTTGACCCAATCAAACAAGTGTTTCTCCTCCTAGAAATCTCTGGTAAAGGAATCTTAAAAAAGGTATTCCCTTTGGCATTCTTCTAGAGGTTGCAAACACCACTGACATGAAGTGGCACACAATCGATTTGGTGTATCAGAAACTTCAACCAATTTCTACCAAAACTTGTCAGTGGTCTGCAAACTTCTAGCTGTAAAGAGTAAAAGTAAAATCATTAACATAGTGACCCACAATATATTCAATACCCATATTGCAATGCCTCTAACACCAACAGAAACTAGATACTATGTAGTATCAATGTATAAGTGTTGATAGTGAAATAGATTGTGAATTATGTAAAATGTAAACCAATATTGAAGTATGTATGTAAAATGTATGGAGAGTTATAAGATACTAGGTTCTGTTAAATATTAGAAACATGCAATATTCACTACCATGACTGGTATATATTTCACTTCCAGAGAAGAAAAAACAAAATTCAGGGGAATAGATGACTTTTTTTTATTGTCTTAAAAAACAAATGGCAATACCCAGAATATGTTAGCAAGAAGTCAAAACTTCGTATTTTATATCTATATTATTATACAGTCAATAATAATAAATGCAAAATTAAAGCACATAGAGTTATTACATTGGTAGCAAAAAGAATTCAACTGTTACCCTGTTTTAATGCCAAGAATGCCGAGTTAAAATCCTTACCAAGAAGGTAGTGAAGAACTTTGACAACTTGCCAGAAATACGAGTTCCAGAGAATATGGTGGTACATCTCACTGTCAAATACTGACAGGATTAAATTTCGGAATTTTCTGGTTTTCTGGGACATTTAAAAAAAATCTTTTCCAAATATTAACGAAAAAAATATAAATACATTTACAAATAATTGTCCATGATCTTTGATCGCATGCAAGAATTTAAATAGCATCATTTATCATTATTTATCATAAAGCAGATTAAAAATATACAATAGAAAATAGAGGCGTTTCCGGATATTGCCATGTCCAGCGACATTGCAGATGGACTTTGGTCAAATCAGGCTGTCCGTTCCCATGGTGACAGACCGGAAGGCATTTTAATCTAAAACTGATTCACCATCGAGCAGCACAATCTAGAATTTTTACTAAATTTACAAAAAAAAAGAAAAAAAACACACCAAAAATCATTAAGATCACTCAACTTCGGCAGATATATACAATAAATCGCACTGACTTTCAATAGTATATAGATATACGCCCTCTTACGACAATATCAAATTGGAAGAGGGGCTTAAGAATGTTCTGATTCAAAAAAGGAATCATATTATATTAAAAAAAATATCTGCCCAGAAGATCTCAAGTGAATCTTAACATTTTTGGGGCCTTATCCGAAATTACTAAAAATTTGATATCATATTACTTTATACAATGAAAATTGGTTGAAAGCTAGGTTTTGAGATTGTATAGAGATTGTACACTTTTGAACAGTAATTTGGTCACCATTACTCATCTTACACAAATGTTTCACACACCAAAAATAAACAAGTAGCAGAGTAAATAGAGAGGCTTTTTGAAAATTATAGTAGTTTACAACAAATGATATTTTTTGAACGATTTTGAACAGCCTAAATTGATTGGCATTGTGTTGTGACGAAAGGAAAATAAATTGATTAATATCCAGCCAATTCAGCAAATGTTGAATCAAGTTCATCACTAATGGCCTTGTATTTCTCTTTCTCTGCAAGAAGTTCATCTGAAATAGGGAAAAGAACACTTTGTTAATAAATCATATCATTTGAGAGTTGAGTCTTTTCATTGTGACCTTTAACAATGCCAAAATCATACTTATGATATTGGAAAATGCTATTACATTGTTTTGTCAAAAGTTTTTTATATTCATTTGCAAATAGAAACATTCTGATGAAAAATAACGAAATAAAAAGATTGAAATACTGAAAAGTTCTGAAATTAAAGACTGAGAATTCTCTCTACAAATTCACCATGCTCTTCAAATTATCAAATATCATGCTCAATGTTAGTATCACATTTAACAATTTTTATTGTCACAAAACAGATACATCTCTACATCTTTACTGTTGTTTGGATTTAAACAACCATTGATATTACAAGTGGTCTTTGACATTATGCAGAATAGTCAACACAAAATCTGTTTGAATCCCAAATCAGCACTAAGGATGAAAGCATTATTCTGATCCTTAATTGAAGATATAAAGAAAGTTGTATTATGACAAGAACAACCTGTGTATAATGAAGGATGAATAAAATGTTGTAATAGTCTAAATGTCGTGTAGTTCTTCCATGGTGGATTCCAATTCTCTTTGTAGTGATTTGCTTTTTTCTCTTTCCATATCAAGTTCACCTGTAACATGCCAATCAAACACAACATGCTCAAACATTGTCAATAATAACAACATGCTATATAATGTCATACCAATTGTTATCCTTGCATATCCTTGATCTAATAAGATCTGATAAATATCAAAGGATATAATTTTGAAAGCTGACAATACAGCTATACCCAAATAAGAATTTCATAACTGGTATAACATTATAGTCAATCATTAAACAAGTAATTAAGTTCGATTAACAGAGATTTCACACGATTCAATTTGTTAGTAAATACATGGTATTACTGCCATCATTGCTATTGCACCACTGGTCATAGTTATCTTTTCCTTCTGTTGCTCAATAACTGCCCAAGAGTCCAAGTACCATTGCACCAGAGATGAGACGAGATATTTCATAAACCTACCTTCGACCTTCTCGAACTGAATATGAAGTCTACTAAGCTCTCGTCCGGCAGTTTCGGCCCTTAATTCAACCTGATTAAAACAAAGACATGCATTTTTAACAAGCTAGTTCTGTCTTGAACACTATGTTAACCCTCCAAAGTGGAGACCACAGTGGAGAAGTCAAAATAGGGTACAGGACAAATTCTTGGTTCTTCAGCTGAAATAAAAGGGTTAATCATGCTCACACGGCAAGTTAAACTTCCTGAAACAGAAAGGGTTAAGACATCTACGATTTTATCTTAACATGCGTCAAATTTCACTGAATTGTTAAACTATTGAACATGATCAATTTGTTATTATCAGAGGATGGGGATGTCACACAAGTCGGCGTGCTCTGGTACCTTCAAGTCTGTCAACCTCCTTCTGTAATTTGGATACGGTTCTTTCAGCTTCTGTGGCACGGTTTTCAGCCTAATTGGGGACAAAATAATTGGAATGTAATAAAAATGTATTGTGTTTGTGTATTTACATTTAGTAGCAAATGTAATATATTGCTTGTAATGAATAGTTTGCAATGAAATTTAACCTTTGATATCATTATCAAGAGTGTTTAAATAATTTGACATTTAACCAAATATTTTTGAAGAAAACGTGATGAGCTATGGTGTGTGAACAAAATACATACTTCCTTAAGTCTGTTGGTAAGATCACGAATAGTTTCTTCGTAACTGTCTTCTCTTTGTGAAGCCTAGAGAAACATAGAGTTGATAGATTAGTCATCAGGAAATTTGAACTAAATTGTCATCAGCTGACTTGGATATTGTCTGTATCAAATATACTTTATAGTATATCTCATACATAACATATATCAAATAGAAAACTTTCACATAACCAGATCAAATCTTGTTAAAAGAGAGTCAAAAGTGAATATGTTCTTGGCATGATAATCGACTTGAATTTATTTGACTCAATCTGGTTGCCTGAAAATTCACAAAATTATACCATCTAGTATTGCAGGTTGTTTCTAATGAAGATAATGTTTAGATTTAGATATACAAATTGAATTTTAATATTCACTGATTTACTTCTTGAATGTTGTCAAAACCTATTATGATCAATCAAATTATTTAATTAATGTCTTGTATAGAAAGGTCAACCCTGCAAAAACTAAATAATATTTTTTAAATCATTAATTAAAGGCCTGTTCATGAATCCCAAATTATCATGTACATCAAAATCTAGGTAAACTCCATTAATTTGGAATATGTGAAGATTATAACCCTCTGTAATTTTAAATTTTTGAAATATTTTTCTCAGATAAATATCATCTGCTTTTAGAAGTCGTTTGCTAACTTGAGACATGACAAACTGTTTGCTAAAGTTATTGATTTGGTCTAGAGAGCCAAGTTTGATTTCTAAACGTCTAGCCATAAAAAAAGTTGTAATTTGTAAAGTTACAGAGGGTTTAAATGAAATTAAAATGAATTAAAAAAAAAAAAGAAAATCACATAAAATAAACCTTCACATACAAATACTTGGTTCAACAAATTGAACAAAAAAAGTTGACAAAAACTTTTAGAAAAACATTATTTAACAAATACATGATTAGTTAAACTAAACAAGGGGGGATTCAGTTTATTTTTAATGAAAATCAACCAGTAATTTTTTTCGTTTATAAATTGTCAATAATTTCTTCAAAAACATAAAAAATTATAGAGTAAATTCAAAATCACTTCAATTGTTAATGCCACACACGTTGTTGGACTAAACAGATTATTGGCATGCATTATGTTAAGGCGTTACCACACAATGGTTATATTTTACTAAATCAAATGATTTTAGTCAGTCGCAACAATATCTGATAAAAGCGGCCATTTTGAAAGCACGCTACTCATTCTGAATGCTAATCAAAACACAAGTTTAACGACACACTGCCAATGAATTATGAATTTAGACAGAGGTTAAGACCAATGGTCGAGAACAAAATTAAGGAATTATTTGATATTTTGAAACATGGAACATGCAAACGGCAAAAGTTAGTCTGGTGATAGGATGAGATGATGACTCTTCACATATTGAACAAACTTGAGTGAGCTTATTTCGTTTATAAATTGACGGAACATTCCCAACTCAATCTGATAGCAAACTTCATGACTAAGCACATCAAGTAACATCTTGCAGCAGAGAACCAAAATTACCAAATGTCAACTTTAAATTTTTGTGTTACAGTTTGAGAAGTCTTAAGATATAATTTGGATAAATGACTTCATGTGCTTAGGTTATTGGCAATTTCTTTTGATTTCTGTTGTCCATAAAATGAACACAAAAACTAAGAAACTATCAATGCCTTAAAATAAAGTTGAGTTTGCTATAAAATATGATGACTAGTTATAACGTTAGGTATTTCAACATAATTTGGGATTCTACAGTGTCCTCATGGTACTAAAGCTTCCATTGATGCGAGAACCACATGAATACAAAGTCAAATTCAGTCTGATTTCTAGGATTGACAGAAATATTTCACCCAGCATCCCATTTACAGTTTAACATAGCATTTACCATACCATCAAGTTTACAAGTACACACTACTGTGCATTGAGCATTATTGGGCTATGAAATGTGTCTCTATGAACACCCTTGTTCCCAACACATATTATACAGCAGTGGAAAGAGAACACTGTCGAGGGGAAGGAGGACCTTTGATTCAGTAATTATACCGTTGTTCACTCAAGGATGTTTTGTCATTGAAATCAAGGATTGGTCTGGCATGTATTGAGGGAAATTAGGGCAAGTTAATTCTACCAAGCTATTTAATCATGTTGAAAAATTGGGGAGGTGATTTGGGGAAATAATTCCATCAATGATTTTATTGAATTTTGTTTCCAGTGGGGCTCACACAATGGTTTCACTACATTTGAGGTGCCTAGCGCTATGTGGCGCAGTTAGACCATACTAGGTTTTCTTATGGTATTAACATGCAAGAGGCAGGCGGACACCATGCAGTTATGGTGATACCTCTTGCTCACTGATTTCCAGTGATTTCATATTGTTTCCCACGACCTTCAATTCTTCTTCCAACTCTAGGATTTTCCTGTAACAGATCGTATTTTGTATGAATTTTTTAAATAACCATAATAACCGCGAGTCCCCTAGCTCCCCTTACCTCTGACACCTTGACTGTATAGGTTTTGAGATTGTTACCCACAACATGGAGCTCCTCATCAAGTTCATAAATCTTGCTGTAATCAATTAAAAAAAGTATAAAATGTTACAGGGCGGGTTAGCGTAACATGAGTTCACGACACAAGAAAGGACGCATGTTTCAACATCCACATGCGACCAATTCTCCAAATAAAGGGGCACACAGCGGGCAACACTCAAATTCAACCTTATCCAATCAAAGAGGTGAGCTAGGGTGAATCGCAGTTTGGTTATCACAAGAATAACATCAGTCCCTACAAACTAGTTTGAAAATTTTCCTACACAACACTAAAACTGGTTAGCGTAGATGAGGGAATGTTATAATGGTGTAATGATTAGATACATTGATATGTTATAAGCCAAAATAACAATGATAATAATCAGTTTAACAGCCTGAAACGAAGTAAGGGTAAAGTGAATAGAATGAAGGTGAAATCTAATCGAATCAAATCTCAATATAATTTTCAACTGTTTGTAGGGACTGGTGTCATTTCAAACCTTTATGCACACTTCTTCACAAACCACGACACGATCTTACCTTTTCTAAATTAATTTCTAATGATCTAAGATTATTAGTAAGGGAGGTAACTTCATCTTCAAGCAATTTCGTTTTCCTGTAAAAATGCAAACAACACGCACACACTGTATTAGCATGCAAACAACTAGGGTTACTTGAAGGAGTGAGTTGAAACTTTATCAACTATTTAATCAATTAATCAAGATAAAATATAAATCAAGTGTAGAATAACTCTCTCTCAGTTTTTATCAAATTCATCTTTAATTTTTTATGTAGATCACAACATTAGCGAAAAGAATATTGATATTTTCAAGCAGAGAGAAAAGTAATCTTAATTGCAATAGTTTTTGTTTTAATTTCAATATTTATTTGGAAAGTTAGGAATAAAAAATATTTTTGGAAAATGAAATATGAGTTAAAAGTGAACATGCACAATCTATTTTGTGATGAAAACAGCTTCTTATTGGATAAATTTTTAAAAGATTTCAATTTATGTGATAAATAATTCAATTTTGAGCCAAAGTCAATTATATCCAATAAGAAGAGCAAGTCAAATTTCAAAAGAACAAGGAACATTTCTAAGTTTTTTTTACCAACAGTAAAATTTTCAAATCTCATAAATTTCGAATTGTGACAGGACTGATAATAAAGATTTCCTTGTTCCTTTGACATGATTCTTAATAAAAATGATAAAATGCAAGAGTTTGAAAAATAGAGTGAAGTAGATTAGTTAGAAAATGATAAATTTTCAAGTGGTTTCTATAAGACTCATGTGATTTAGGAAGCCAAAAACCCATATTTTAATAAGGTTGTCATCATTGACAGCTTAGTAAAACTCCAACAAGAAACATTTAGAAGTGAATATTTGCTTAAAGCTTCATGATCAATGCCAGTATTGCTGTCGGCCAACTGTTGATGTATGGCCATATCAGAAACCAAATGAAAATCAACAAAATGCTCAATAGAAAGAGAATGAATGATAGAGTGATCATGCTTGTTAGATGATGATAGTGTTTGTTTTTTTCTGTTTTTTGTTTGTTTGTTAGAATATGACTCCCACACACTGTTTATTTCAAGATGCAAAACATCATCCAAATATAGAAAACATTTTCATAATTTAAAACAATTTGTATTTATATATATATATATATATAGAAAATATCGGTGTGTGGTATATGGTTGTTGTGTCTTACAACTAATATAAAAGAGCCCCAGAGCCAGTGAAATAAGGAAAAGGCGTAAGAGAGTATTAGGCTGCGGAGACATGTGGACAAACCTCTCATATAATTCAGCTCTTTCTTCAACTCTTTCAAGGTCAGAATCATTTACCACTAGTTTACGAACGCTCTGAGGGGAAAAAATGATTTTTTCATAAAATATCATATCATTAAAGAATTCGAAGATACTTACGCTTCAGCGGCTTCAAGACGTGTTTCAGCACGTTCCAAATCAACTTCAGTGATGGCCAATTTACGGGCAGCCTAGATAGAAATCAGCTCACAATTAATTCCATGAATGTTCATTAATTATCAATAATATATCAATGAGAATGTAATCATGATGAACACTGATGGAATAGACATGATTCTAGATAATCATGCAATTTCTTGAAATTTATATTCTTAGAAATTCTTTTTTTTTTTGTATCAATTTATATCTTTTTTGAAAATTCATGCATTACTTATATGATATCTTTCATAAATAATATCTTTTAATTGATATCGTCAAATTTCAAACCATGCAAATTTTCACACATTCAATTGGCTGTGAAGCTGATTTTCATTCGAGGTTTAGTAAAGTAGGTCAGAGACAGCCAGCACTCAGCTGAGTAAGATATTGCAGGATCATTGCTGTCTCTGATTTAACATTTTACAAGGCATAATCATCAAGATTAATAGTTTCTGATAGTTAATATAATCAAATCATCATTTCCTACATTGATCTAAGGAAACAGTTTTCTTGGTACAGTTTTCTAATAGATTTCAGTCAAGTACACTGGAAGTTAGGTCTACTTGACCCTAGTGATATATGATTGATTGGCCTTGTAACATGTAATAAAAGCAATGTGTAAAAGACTCATCACTTATTAATTAATAATCAATTATAACTAATACAATTAAGAGATAGCTCAAATCTTTTAATTACCACAGGATAACCTTGAAATCTGCAGGAGTCTTTAGAAATAATTTAGAATAATTTTGTGAGCTAAGGCCAATGCTTTTATAGAAGTGTATCTATATATATCTATATAACCAATAACCATTTTGTTATCATGAGCTATCTCTAATACATTCAACTATTTGTCAATAGCTATGATTAAAACAGAATATGATCCTGTAAAACCATAGCTATCAAGACATCACACATCATGCCTTCTGAAATAAATAGAAATATTAAACATCATATCACGACAAAACACAGTCTCTTCATGCATTGCCTCCTATTTATCAATAAAATATGGTTAAAATTTATAACGAACAGAGAAATTTAATATTGTTTAGTGGTTAAAAGAGATCAAGAAAATATTACATAGTGGGTGTTAGATAGATCAGTAGAACAATTTATAACAAGAACTTGGTTAGAATGAGGGATAGGCGTATCATTTCCTGTCAAGTGTAAAGTTACGTAATATCGAAAATGGGGCGAGAAAAATTTGAGGTTTTTCCAAAGTTATTAGTGATTCAAAGTTGTTTTATCTTAGCCCATCTTAACTATCGACAAATGGGAACCTATTCATATACAGCCATGATAGAAAATAATTGATTTTTCTCTGTAATATATGATCGAGGCAATCAGCTAACTAGGAAACATGCGTGTGGATTGATAAAACTCTACTAGAGATAGTCAATCTCATCATATCATTGTTTCATCAAGTCAATTTCCAGCAGGACAAATTTACGTCTCATTAGACAGATGGCCGTGTCTGGTTGGTTTCAAATTTCTAATGGCAAACGTTTTCTGCATAGCAAAGCACTACAAGATCAACATGTGCAAGACCTTAAATTTCTAATTCATTTATCTGACCAAATAGCAAGACATCATTGCAAGAACCTAAATTGCTAATATGCAAATGGAACTCGAAATCCTTGCAAAAGAGCACACAGCTATTTGTTGTCAAAGGATTGCACACCTCATCATATTTACGGTCAACATCTTCAGCAATGACTTTAGCCTCCTCGAATTGTTTTTCCAACAACTCAATTCTCTCTTCATCACCCTGACTTCTATTTTCCAATACCTTTCGCCCTCTAGTATTAAGATGGAAGACAACATTAGTATTTAGTATATTAAACATCAATAATACCTCAACTAAACTTGATCACTTGATAAATTTTAGTTGAGGTTTAAATGTGATATGGAGATTTTCACAATACTTATTCCGAATGGAGAGATTTGTTCTCTGATTTGAATTTTGAAATATATCTCCTTATCAGGACACATATAACAGTTATATTATTATTATAACAGTACAATATCATTTAGGAGGCAAGTCATGCAAAGTGCAGCTTCATGTCTTCACCTCATCGTATTTGCGTTCAGCATCTTCAGCGATATATTTAGCTTCCTTGAGTTGGGCTTCAAGTTGGTCGATTCTTTCGTCATCGGATAAGCTTCTGCTTTCCAGCACTTTGCGCCCTCTATTGAAAGAAATATCTCATTAATTAGTTTACAAATTGAATAAAATCAAATGCAGTCTTTAAGCCAAGCCCGTCTGTAAGAAATAGAAACTTAGAATATTAATTGACATGCAGTAGGGAAAGAATAAGAAATCAAGTAACAGTTTACTATGATTTTACGGGTTCAATTTACATCAGTGAATAACCAATAACAATAGATTACCAAAATAGTGCATTGTCATCAATATCAATGCAATGCAAACCAAAATTGCCAAATACGGGAAACCTTCAATTGTTTTTGGCATGGCTCCACTGATATAAGCTGAGTGTATGTTAGTCATGTAGGGTAGAATACTGTACCTCTTCAAATCGCGTTTCTGTATCGGTGGCATGCGCTTGTGCAGTTTTCAATGCTGTTTCATATTCGTCAAGTTTTTCTTCTGCAGCTGCTAATTTATTCTCAACAGTTCGTTTTTGTCTGTAAAACACACAGCATGCAAAATTCTCAAATCAGAACATGCAGTTAAATTAACTAAGGGTAAGGTTAGATATGTAATGGGATTGGGGTATGTCTATCTTGGTCTGCTCTGCTTCTTAGATTTCTACCACTTAACTATCTTTTGTTTGAATTTAATTGGAATAAATCATGCCAAGGGATGTAACAAGTGTCTCTGCGCTGAAATTCAAGAGGGTTTCATGCAATGTTCCATTTATTCTGGAAAAAAAACTTTCAGCATAGATCTAAAACAAATACATCACATACAATTATTTGAAATGTTTGAATCAAGTGAATTTGCAAGTTCTTTGGATAGAATTAAGATAAAATTAGCAATATTTGAAATAAGTTTTTTGATGCCCAGATTTGAGTAAAACAAGCAAGATCTTGAATGTAATAGAGCCTTAATTCAAACATTTCAAATGGTATACCAGTATTAAAGACATTATTGATTGATGTCTCAACATACCTCTCGCTCTCATCTGCAGCCTTAGAAGCTTCTTCAAGTTTGGATTGGGCGGATGTGAGTCGTTCTTCAGACCTTTCTAAATCTTCTTCTAGAAGGGTAATACGACGTGTGAAACCAGCAGCCTCTGTTTCCAACTACAAAATAAAGACATGGTATTGTAAAGATCATGTTAAGATCCAATTGTAATGGGCTGAAGTTAAGATTGTAGTGCCAATAACAGGGACCATTTGATGTTTATTTTGTTATTTGAAATCAAAACGAAATAAAAAATGTCACAAACTTATTATGAATTGAGGGGCATCAAGTTGGCTTCATGAATATAAACATGTTTGTGAAAAGAAACAAAGAAGATTCTTTGCATAACTTCTTGAATTGTGATTGTGAACATATACAAAAGGAAAAACATGACACTTCAGAGGGCACCTGCCTTTTGTCTCTTTATGCATATTATGTGTGTTGCTAGACAAAAGCTGTAAATGTCAAAGAGACATTTTGTTTGTATATTTTTTATTATCATATAATAATTGTAATGAATGTCTCTTCCTTGTTGCTTGTATCCAACAAAGATATTTGTCTTAGTAAAATATTTGCTATAGTATAAAAGTATAATCAAGATTTTCAATTAACATTATCATCACGCCTTGTAATCTAATGTTAAACAGCCGACACAGGAAATACATACTACATCATTTGTGGAAATTGAAAATTGCCTCCCTTTCCTTTTCCTGACCTTTAGAAATGTGCTGAGTAGTGTAGATAATAGCAAATAGTTTTGACTGGCTTGACATCCCTAATTATTTCAAATTCAGTCTGATGTAACTGTTTTATGTTGTTGAGAGAGAAATACATTCAGACTGGCTCTAGTAATATGTACAATTGTTGGTTCCGCATTGCTGATTACAGTAAACCAGTTACAATATTATCAAGAGTTTTAAGATATGTGGTTAAGTGTGTAAGATTTGATAAACAGAATCATGTTCCTATACTATTGTTATAAGAAAATAATGGCCAAGTAAAATATGAATCAAAAATTTGAAAGAGGAGTATATACTTAAACTTATATTCATTGTCATAATCATTCTGTAGGCTATTTTGTAAACACTTTTTTAAAATATAATTTTCTCTGTATGATATTGGTATAGAAAGAGAGTTTAATATGACTCATTATAGATACAAACTGTGACCTATAAAATACCCCTTAAACTCACTACACATTACACATTGTGTGAAACAAAAATATATAGGCCTATACTGTTCTTTCATTCAAATATATTTGAATTTGGAGCCTTTTAGTCACATTGTATTTGACATGGGGTAAGTTCTAAAGTAATGCAAAAGAGACAAGAGTTCACTACACTCCATCACAGATTAATGAGTTAAAATAACCATACCATATAAGGACATAAGTACAACCATTACAAGTTTCCTTTTAAAGGTTGTATCTATGTGAAAGTTTCAAGTGTAGTAAATGTTGGGTGTGGAAGACAAATGATTGGTAACAGGATGCTAGAATCCAGCGTTATCTAGTATATTGAGGCATTTTACTATTGTTTCCAGTACAATCTGAACACTAAATGGGTGTGCCTAAGCGTATCTGTACTGATAAAGAATAACAATAATGGATACATTTCTAGATTGAATAGATAGTGTTATAATGTGGCAGTTTTCTTTCAAAAAGAGGTCAATATACACTAACTGGTCAACAATCCACAATGATTGACATTCACCTTAGGATGGACTTTGTTTATGAAACAAAATTGAAAGGAATGTAAACTGGAAATATTTCATATCAAAAATATTTCAAATGCTTGTAGGCATATCCTGAATAAATCAGGGTAGGGTACAGATTTATTATTATGATGCATTAACAGTAAAATATTGCAGTCATAAATATAAAGAGGACTCTTAACCTGATTTTAAATGTGACAAGGAAGCATATCTATAAGGTATGCACTTCCGCCTAAATACTAACAATGACATTGAATCATGCCCAGACCCATTGATTGAGCTATCAGGCAGGAAGAATGAAACTAGGCTTTCTATCATATGGTGAAAAACTTTTCTGAACTACAAGAATCAAGTTTTAAACACCCCTTCATTACAGTCATGTCAGCCAAAAAATTGGACAAAAGTCACTCCAAGTCAATTAAATTCTTTTACCTTTTAGGTTGGTTTTACACCCTTCTGTAGAAGAATAAACACCAGTGGTGACCTTTACAATTTGTAATACCCTGACTTATCAAACAACTCACAATATACATGGCAGTGTTTTTACCATGTGGCACAATTTTGAGAAAATAGGTCAAAATGGGAGAGGCAAACCCTTTGTGAAGAAGATCTATTTGTAAAGAATAAGAATGCAAGATTAATTTGAAATCAGCTGACAATACTAATGAGTCCTAGTAAATTCCTACAATGTTCAGAGATCACACTCTTTTTTCCAAAGCTTTTTAAGGAAATCAGAAAATCATTTGTTTTCAGTATGTCCAAATAGTCTTTGATAGGTTTGTATCAAAATGATGACCTATTTAACATTACTGTGGTATCAGATCACATTGAGAATGTTTTCTGGTTAACCAAGCATATGACATTAATGACCAGCCTAAAGCCAGTTACTGGTCATATCAAATGTTTTCTAAATGAATGTGGTGACCCAATTATTAACCATGACAACCAGGTACAGTGATATTTAGTAACCTTTACCACACCTGTAGGATTAATACCCCAAATTCAGCTTTTAAAGTCTTTAAATTTCAAATTTAAATTTTGTTGAGTCAGCAGAATTTGATTTTAGATTTTGTATTTTGTATTAATTGAAAGTGACAAATTCTTAATCTGAACATGAAATTAGATCTGAATTGATATTTATGACCATAGGAAAGCCATGACCATGATCAAGAGAAGAGATAACAAACAAAACCTAGGGAAAATAGAAAATAGACAGTTAACAAGACAAAATGAAGGATTAGTCCCCCACTACAACAAATTTCACATCGGTCAGATTTACTCAACTTGACAGTACATTGTAAAACGGTCAGGTGATATAATGTCATTTGACTAAAACTAACGTATCGCTGACAAGATGAACTTGTTTTATACTTTTGATTAACCTCAAGTAGGTTTAACTTGCTTCACAATTCATCTCAGGTTTATTTTGAATGAATCAGTGAAATACTTTCTTTTTTTTTTTCATTCACTCATCACGCCAAAAGATTGAAAAAGAAAATACATTTTTTTACTGTAATGAAAGTCAAAATACAACTGCCTTTTATTGCTATTGTTGTATGAAATTTGATATTTTTCCAAAATTTTAATGCACAGATATATTGCAAGCAGTTGTCAAATTTCATTGAAAAGATTGAACTCTTTGAAGATTGAAGTGTGATTTAAGTCAAGATTTGACCTTCAGACAAACTATTGCTACTTACAGCCAGGATATTTGTTGATTTAGGATTTCCTCAAGCCTTTCTCTTAAAACTAACTTCAAACTTTAAACTAACAGTCCACTGTTTTACCAATACCAACCCAAGAGATTTACTGAGGCTCTCATCAACAAGTCAAACATATTTTAAGACTCTCTGATGGGATGTCTTTAATTTGGATAACAGTATTATACACTCATTACTGTTATGATATACTTGTCAAAGAGATTAAAAGGTTATACCTTAAATCATAAAACTGGTGACAAAAAATTCTTAAAAGCTTCATACCAAGAATCAAATTATTTTGCATAATTTCTGGTATGCAAATATTTCATGACAACTGTGGAGCCATGCAGTCAAAGTGTCACTGACCACTGACAATAAAACAAAGGGAAGACTGTTTGAAATTGTCCACATCAGTGACATGTGATTTGAAGTCTAATAAACAAATATACAATGTATGATTTGTATTTAACAGGTCAATAACATGCTACCTATAGTAGCCAGTACTGGTCAGTGGTCAACAATATAATCTATGGTGTTCACAGACACATCAAGCTCTGTACTCATGTACTCCTGGAACCCCCTGCATTTTAATATTTCATTAGAGATGTTGTCAACATCTCATGCAAATGTCATGGAATCAGAAGTTTTTCTGCTTTCTGATGATCAATTGAATCAGAGCCTACAAAGCTGGACTTATTTTGTGCATACATGATGTCAAAGAATTTGGAGAGAACAGCATACCGACTTAGTCATTAGTATACACAGGGGAAATGTTTGTCAATTGGTAATTTGTTCAGTAACTTTTATATATTTATGGTCTCAACTTAAGTAAATAGCTAGGAAGTAAGAAGGGTCAAATTCAAGTGTTTATAAAGCACTTACAAACATATTTATACCTAATTTGGTAAAAATGTGTCAAAGAAATGTCTCGTGAATTATAATCTTCATAGATGAAGCCTACAATATACATGTACTTCATTGGGATTGTATAAAGCTAGCGTTATGCTCCAATTGGTAGGATGACATGTTTCGAATATAAAGCACGTTTTTGATTGAGAGATTTTGAAACACGAATTTTGAATGAAAAGTATGTCTACATGACATTTTGTACCTTATTCACACAAATGAAATCAGGCATATTTAAAATGAAAATAAATAAATTTTTAACTACTTCTGCAATTGGCCAAATGAGTGTAAAAAGATTCTTTTATCAAAACTAGAAAGAGTAATTAGTACTAAGGTAATAAAAGATGAAGGTTAATAGCTTGGTATTTGTGTAGTGGGAGGAGGGCAATATTAACATACACCAACTTCAATACCTTGTAAAAGATTTCACAGCTTTGTGCATAATCTGGCAATTTTTGTACAATAACGGAAGGTCAGCTTTTTGCTTTCAAGAAAAGATCAAGAAAATTAATGTGCTCATTTCCAAATAGATATTGTTCTTTCAAGTAGAGCCTATCGCCTATCCATGTAAAAATTTTAAAGACATTGTTAAATTTGACAGGGAAAGAGTATGACAAGCAACAATACAATCAAGATAGTACAGGAAATGTATCTTGTAGACTAAATGCATGTAAAACAAGAAATACATGACATTTACAGTTAATTAATGAGCCCTAGAGCAGAACTCTGTCTGGTTCAAAACCTTGTTCAGATTTAATTAATGATGTCATCTTAATTACATATCAGAAGGTTAGGTGAAG